AGATTTTTAAAACAGTGAGCCTATGGGCCTACGTTAAGTTCTGTTTTATTCTGGCAGTCAAGTGGTCCTATTGTAGAATCAGAAAGTCATGTGGTTCTTCTGATAGGACAGAGTGACTCAGTTGCTTTTTTGCATTTTCTCAGTTGTAATGGGCTTAACAGTACTTCCTCACAGATATGTTGGATAGATTAATAACTAAGCTTGACTAAGCAGAAGATGGGGAAAGGCCTTCTTCATATTGCAAATTAGCCTTCTTATAGATCCCCAAAGGAAGAGGGAAATGAGTGAGTGCTCTGCAAGAAAAGCGTAAAGTCATATTGGAAAAGCTTGATAGACTCAATAACGTATCACTGTTTGCGCTGGTGGTGAATATCTGTAGTTTGAGTATAGCATGAGGGTGGAGTTTGTGGGTTGGTTGCCGAATGTTTTGTTACCATGCTAGGTAACATCTTCAATGGAGTTTAGGGGAGGTCAGTGTTCCTCTGTTGATAAGGGCTTTGTGTGCTCAGTAGGTCTTGTGATGGGGAGGTCACGTCAGGTGAGGGTCTTGTGATGGGTCTATCTATAACAGTTTAATGATAAAGGTCTTCCCTTCATAGGAAAGTTGCCCTGTATGAGCCAATCAAACAACACAGAGTTGCTGTATGAACAAGATGGCTGGTTTCTAAATTTTATATTTTTATCAATATATATAAAAATCAGCACTGCCTAAAGGTAACCAAGGATCAGATTACAGGATGCTCAGGTTTCCTGGCTATTTTGAGGGCAGAGGAAATCTGCATTGAAAAATGGAATGGCAGTCATATAACAGTATACATTGTCAAAACAGACTGCTACCTTTGAAGTCAGGCAGCAGATTCAACAACCAGGCAACTTCCTGACTCCAGTTTTCTAGAAAGATATTCTGAGTGTACTTGGCTTGTAACAGGATTATCCAGCCCACCCATTTCCTACCAGGCTATGCAAATATTTGGAGTCAAAGAGTAACCTATGGATCAGAATGTGGGTGGGCATGCAGTTGGGCCGGTAGCAGATCCTTGTAAGTAGGCCACCCCAGTTTTCCCAAGAACTCGGCAGCTGCCCTCCATGGCTGGCCTACAATCTCAGGAAAAGAAATGTCTGATTCAAGATGTTCCTCGGAGGTGCCCTATACGTGGCCACATACACTCTGAATCACATTTTACTCTTTACATCTGGAGCCCTGCCCAATTCTAATACAGTAATACAGGTCAGTTTCATAAATATTTGATTCTTAAATCCGTTCCTTGGCTTGTTTTCAAGTTAAAGCTGCACTAATTCTTGTATGCATCTTCCCCTTCTCTATGTATTTTTGTATACAACTTTCTCCAATACATGCACTGTTCATTTCAGTTTTTTAACTGAGGATTCCATCCCAAGATTTAGTGCACAAAGTAAGGGATTGGACCTATTAGGTCTCTTCCAACTGTACAACTCTTATGATTCAAGCATTATTCATTTGAAAAGTTGTGATGAGTACAAGCTGTACAAAACATTCAAAATACATGCTCTGCAAAGAAGGGTTAATAAGAATGGAAGGCTTGCCCAGGCTTTGAAGACTATTCCTGGTTGTCTGAATGCCTCTGTGTGTTTGCTCTTAAATGACTGTATCCAGTGTTCATACAGAAACAGGAATCAGATGGGACACCACAAGGATCCTGTACTCTTCTAAAAAAGGTAAAGGTGAATGTTTCCCCTGTCCAGTCATGTTCAACTCTGGAGGCAATGCTTATCTTCGTTTCCTAGCTGAGGGAGCCAGTATTATCTGAAGATGCTTCCGTAGTCATGTGCCCGGCATGACTATACAACGAGGCACGGGGAATGCTGTTACCTTCCCACCAAATTGTACCTATTTATCTACTTGCAATTGCACGCTTTCAAGCTGTTAGATTGGCAGGAGCTGGGGCGAGGATGGGAACTCACCCTATAAAGTGGTATTTATGTCTCAAACTGCTAACCTTCCAGTCGACAAGCTCAGTGTCATAACTATTAAGCCACCACATCCCTATTGTAGTCTTCTAGACCAGAGGTCCCCAACCTTTTGGGCACCAGGGACCGATTCCGTGGAGAAAGGTTTTTCCACAGACTGGAGAGTGCGTGGTTTTGTGTGCTGCCTGCATCCCACAGATGGGGCTTTGCTTCTTTGTGTGGACCGGTTGCTGGCATGCAGTGGCCCGGTACTGGTCTACAGACCAGGGTTTGGGGACCCCTGTTCTAGACCTTTATTAATGACTTGGATGAAAAAGTGGAGGGAAAACGTACTGCTAGCTGGGCAAACATTAAAGAAAGTGGCTTTGCCTTAACTGAAAAGAACTTTTTCAGAGCTCTTACTGAATCTGAGAAAGGTAGGCTGTGAGATTCTGCTCTTCTAATATTTCTAGTGAGAGCAAGCAGCTGGACTGTTTCTGCTGCTGCTGGTCAGCCATGACAACGTAACAGAGTTGGACATGTCCCTAGACCAGGGGTAGGCAACCTTGGCTCTTTTATGACTCGTGGACTTCAACTCCCAGAATTCCTGAGCCAGCATGGCTCAGCTTGGAAACCTCTCCCTTTCCCCTCAGCATGGCTGGCTCAGGAATTCTGGGAGTTGAAGTCCACGAGTCATAAAAGAGACAAGGTTGCCTACCCCTGGCCTAGACTTAAAGTGGAAGGAAGCTGCTGAAAATCTGCCTCCCATCTCTGTGGACACAGGAAAGCTTAATCAGGGTGAATTGAATCATTCAGTAACAGTGACCTGGCATCAAACCAGAAATGACATCAATCTGCTCGGCATCTGTAATAATAAAAAAAGGAAGTAAACAGTTTGGAGGGGGGCAAGAGATCTATTGAGAAGGAAGTGGGATTGCTGTGAACTTCTCTCAGCAAGGCCAAAGTTGAAAAACTATGCATTTGATTACTTATAGTGCTAATGTTGTGGTGGTTTTAACCTTTTAGTCATGTCCCACTCTTGGCAACTTTATAGGCAAATGCTCTCCACACAACCTCTAACAGCAATCTCTATTTGGCTTGCTGGGATGAATGTCTGCAGAGGGCTCTCTTTCTAGCTTAACACAACCTCTAGTTCTGCTGGCTACCCAGGGACAGGAGTTTAATTTCCAAAAAAAAAGAGCACAATTTCTGATTTGCATCAGAAGCTGGGAATGCACAGGAGTCACTGCCATGTAGAGGCTTTAGCTATAGCCCTGCTTTGTTTTCCAGCTAGTCAACATACAACGTCTGGAAATAAATGGACTTTATGAGTGACATTTATTCAAGAAGCAGAAACTCAGCGTGAGTTTTTTAAGTGAGGTAATACCTGGAATAAGCTCATTCAGTGAATCCTTTGCTTTTGCTACCACAGCAAAAAAAAAAAAAAAAGGTGCAAAGAGCAGAGCTATTCTGCTTAATATAACTAATGCTTGATATCTGTCCAGTCACCATTTCTGTTCTGTGGAACTGCATGGGTGGCTAAGCCCATATCAATTTTGGTACTAACATTAGCCTTGCTGAGAGCACGTATCTGGCTCAAATTATTAGGATTATTGGTGACTGGGGCTGAGGTTCTCAACTTCTCTGGAGGAAAGCTCCTCTCTCATGTGTATAAATATCCTCCGTATTTCTAAAGATTAATGCTGTTGCTTGATGTTTAGGAAATACAGCATTAAAATCCTTCTTCCTGCCATATTAATCTGGTTCTTTTAAGAGAATTGTGCTACAAAGAACAGTATAATAACAAGTGTACCTGTATAATGTAATTGTAACAGTATAATAACTGTTAAGTTGTAACAAACAATAATGGCTGGCTGGGGAATCCTAGGAGTTGAAGTCCACACACCTTAAAGTTGCTGAGGTTGACAAAGACAACTGTAAGTCCCTAAAAGTCAGATTCTATCTCTTCTTCAGAAAGCTGTAGGATCTCACACCTTCATATGCCCAGCCTGTCAACCCTGTGACAATGGATGTCCACGCTCTGACAACTAAGATTCAGCAGCCATTTTACCTTTGCTTTTAATGTGCCTTTTCTGTTCTTTTAGAGTTCAGATGTAGAAGGGGGGATGGGGTAAATATTTGAGGGTTTAGCTAGCTATAACAATGCAGAAGTGTGGGAACTCAAGGACATTGTCTGATAAGCTTTTTTTGCACTAATTGGGGAATGTGATTTATGACAGCTTTTGTGGGGTGGGAATTGCAACTTGTTACTTTGTATCTGGGGGGAGGGAATCTCAGTCTTGGGTTCAACTATGTAAATGCCGATACTTTGTTCCCTGAATAAAATGTTCTTTGAGGAAGAAATTATTGCCTTGAAGTTCTTTTAATTGGTTTCATATATCGGAACCATGACATTAACCCAAGACTGAGATTCCCTCCCCCCATGACACAGCCTTCTCATCCTGGTTCCAGGTTTTACCTCCTAAGGATTTGGGATTATTTCTTCTCATGGGAAGTTCATTCCCTCTCCTCTTTATGATTACCCAGCCCTTCTTGCCTTCTTGCCTTGGGGATGCCCTCCAGTGCCTGTTCCCACGAGCCAGTCCTTTTCTGTTTGGGAAAGGGCTGGCAGTTTCCTTTGGGAATTGCTTCCTCCCCACACACCAGTGAGAGAATGGAGGGAAGGGCCCTTGAAGCTTCCTGGGCCAAAAGACCCACTAACTTCCTACTAACCACTTTTACACTTTGGTATAGACATTGTTGCACATACCCTCCTGGTTGTTTGGAAGGAACTCAACAATCCCAGGTCAGCTGAAATGAGAATAAGAACCAAATATTGGTGTCCTCACAGCAGAACCAGTGGATGAAACCTATTGCTTTTATTTCCTTCTGCTACACCTGATGGGAAAAAAACTAAGCAAGGACGTTTACCTGCCAGGTTACTCAAATACTAATGTTTACCTGCAAAATCGCTTAGGTATTCTGCTGGTCTCAACATCCAGATCGAAAATCCAAATAAAACTCCAGGTTCATTCCATCTCTGAAAATCTTACTGTTTATTGAATACACTGCATGGCAATGTCTCAGCAGAACTAACTCTGAGGTTCCAACACCAATTCATAGACTTAAGCAATAATTTTCCCAGCCAAACTCCCAATGTCTTATGTAGTCCATATAAACATGTTCACTTTATGGGAACTGTCTGCTTCAAATCCACACCTGTTCTGGTATCCTTGAAAAGTTTCAGGCTCTCACAGAATTCAGTGGAATTGTAGAAGTTTCATTTCTCAATCTAACCCACTTAAAAGTAACACCTCCCCTGCTTAATTTAAAGGCAAGTTGAAACGCAGAGGCACATAGCTGCCAAAATGTCATCCTTGACAGCTGGTTTTACTGTAAATAGTCCATGTGCTTGAATGAATCCTGGGGCTATTGGAAAGATTGTCCTAAGGGAGGAGCAAATCCAGGGGATTCTCAAAGGGTTGAACTACAAAGCGTATCACACAAACCAATGGGTGGCTTGGCTGGGGAATGATGGATGCTGTAGTCCAGGAGGATAGTTTTTAGATACTTTGGCTTAACACAGAAGCCATTGAAGATGGCTCTGGAGTGCCATTCCACTTAGTTAAAAGGATGGGCTTTACTTTATCGCATCTCTGCAGTAATGTATGTGATGCCAAAGGGTTGAGGTCTTCTACTTGAGGAGCTGGAACAGGAGGAAGGCCTCTGATGGAGAAGATTCTAAATCCTTCCTCTTCAGTTCATGTAAGGAGAAATTCTCAGGAGTGGCTTGATTGTCTTCTTTTCATACATTACCATAGATAGGTTGATCATTTAAGGTAGAAAATCTGAAGGAAGCATAATCAACCCTTTCTGTGTTTTGAGGAATCTAGGAAGTTAACATATAGCACATGTTATTAGTTACTAGAGTGATCAAAAATATTTGAAAAGAAGAGGGGAAATATGCATATTCGTGGTTTGCCAACAGGCTTTTTCCTTAACTATGCCTGACCAAATTAAGATCAAAGGGCTGGGGTTTACATATCACTTAAATCATACTTGGTAGATTCATACAACTCATAATGTCATCAATTAGGCAACTATACTTCAGATTAATGGGTTGCGTAAATCCAGTCATACACGTGTTCTGTAAGATTTTACCTTTTAATGTTTTCACTTTGTTAGACAGAGAGGGCAGTTCTTCTAGAATAGGGAGTCTTTTTCCAATTGCAAATTCAGAAGTCATGACTCTAAGCCCCTCACTCCCTTACCCTACCATTATATTTTGTACGTATTCAAAGAAGTTACTTCAGATGAAATCCTAGCAACAGTGGGATCTTTTTCTCGGCGAATGCCTCCATGCAAGGCCTTTTCACAAATTTTAATCTCTAGGTCATTTGCAATATTCAAATCCATTTATTTTTGTCTCAAGAATAGTGAACTTCAAACCACAGTAAAATAGTTCTCTATTATTGAAATGCTGTGGTCTACGAAGCTTTTAAACTATCTATTTCCCCACTGGCAAGATAGCTACCTCACAATATCTCCTGGGTTCAGGTCTTTCAAGTAAATTTGGAATTTTGAAAAGGTGTTATGGGCAGTCTCCAAAATAGCTGCCATAATTGGTGTTGATATTGCCAGTCAGAAAGGCCAATCTACCAGGAAATCTTCAGCGTAACTATGCCATATTTTTCTGAGTAGGTGAGCTCAAGTCCAAATAAAGCACCAAGTGAGGTATTTGAAGGCAAAATGGTGCCCAGGGGCTCTATCCTGGAGATTCAGGTGATGAAAGGAAAGCATGGAATGGTCCTAACTGCCAAACTCTGTTAAAACTACATTCAATTTACACAATTTGCATATCTGAATTGTCAGAACTTATTAGTAGTCAGGGGTCATGATGGCTCTCTGATTAAAGATGCTGAGCATGTCAGCTGGAAAGCTGACAGCCCAGGTTTGAAACCAGTGTGCCATGCAATGAGGTGAGCTCCTATTCTTGCCCTAGCTCCCGCCCACCTATCAGTCTATGGAGAGTCTCAGTCATCCAGATCATGGTTGTCCCACAGGGGCTTTTTTCACGAGGCAACTGGATTTTCTTGTTTTTCCTTGAGGACGTTTCGCTTTTCATCCAAGAAGCTTCTTCAGCTCTGACTGGATAGTGGGGAATGGAAGGATTTATATTCCTTGCAGACAGCTGGTCATTTGCATTCTTTTACTAAGTCATTGAGGCCACTCCTCAGGGTCATCTGAGTAGTGTAAATGTGTGTGGAGCCCTCTTGGAATTGCTGAAAGGACTGTGTTGTAGACTGGAGATAGATGATGTCGTATCTCTCCCCCTCTGTTGAGAGAGGGCTCTCAGATAGATGATATGACATCTCTATCTCCAGTCTACAATACAATCCTTTCAGCAATTCCAAGAAGGCTCCACACACATTTGCACTACTCAGGTGAACCTGAGGATACAGATAAACCTCCAAGTGGCCTCAATGACTCTCTAAAAAAATGCAAATGATCAGCTGTCTGCAAGGAATATAAATCATTCCATTCCCCACCATCCAGTCAGAGCTGAAGAAGCTTCTTGGATGAGAAGTGAAATGTCTTCAAAGAAAAACAAGAAAGTCCAGTTGCCTCTTGAAAAAGCACCTTGGGGATGTCCACCTAGCAGTTCAAAAGCATGCAAACATGAATAGATAAATAGGTACCACTTTGGTGGGAAGGTAACAGCATTCCATGTGTCTTTGGCATATAGTCGTGCTGGCCACATGACCACTGAAAATGTCTTCGGACAATGATGGCTCCTTCAACCAAGAAATGGAGATGAGCACTGCCCCCTAGAGCAAGGGTAGTCAACCTTGGCTCTTTTATGACTCGTGGACTTCAACTCCCTTGACTACCCCTGACCTAGAGTCAGATACTACTAGACAGGGGAAACCTTTACCCATTAGTAGCACCCTAGAAAATCTAGACATGCCAGCCAATTGTGGTGCAGAGATTAAGAAGCTTTCCACTGGGGAGCTTTTTGGAACCTCTGCAGAAGGAAAGCCATGGGGAACATCTTTCAACTGAGCTTCCTATTACTTGCTACGGCCAATGGAAGAGGAAAGAAAAACAAATATGATGACGGGACTATTCAATTTTGCAAGGCCTTTAATGTAACACTGGGAAATTCCAAAAGTAGGACAATACTATGGTTTGAGAGCCACATGGACACAACTTTAAGGAGATCCAGGATTATGGAATTAATTGCCCATAATATTTTAGCTACTTTTGCGATTGGTCAAAGGAAGCTTGTCCTTTTGATTTTTCATATGTCTTTCAAACAGTGTAAACTTTTTAAAGACCTGGAACAATTAAGACTGATTTTGCATTCCATATACAGGTATGACTTTTGAGAGGCCCATTGTCAGACTATGAGTTAGAATTAGTTGCAAGTGGTTGGGGGAACGTTTCCCAGGCTTCTTTCCCTGGACAAATTCATCAATAACTTTGGTTTTGTTTATTTGAAAAAATAAATCAAAGCTCATTTGTTACTGATGTACCAAATAAATATATTGATCTTTAAGATAAATACAATTGCAAATGTAATAGATAAGAAGAATTAAAAGTATTAACAAAGTTGAATAATGAAAAGCACCTGAGACTTAGAAGCAAAAACCTGAGTTGGTATCACAGTTGTATAGGTCACTTCTGTGGCTTGATCAGATGAAGGAGAAACCTAAATTAAAGGAAAACATGGTGCTATTTAATTTGGTTTGCCTGGTATTTCTTTTACCTTCACAGTACACCAGTTGGAACATCATTATGCTGACATTACCTTCCCTGGCTATATAACAGAATGATATCACAATCATATAATAAATGCTGTTTCATTTGTCATTATGTTCTCCTGCATGTATATTAATTGTTTGTTCTGTAATGTATTCTCTTTTGGTGGGACCGGGTACCATCCTGTAGCACATCTTGAATACAATAGCCTTTGTTCCATAGAATTAAATGTCATTACTTCCATAGATATTGAGATTATTGATTTTGGTGATAGCCTTTAAGAAAGTAGATGCAAGTGGCCAATCAGAAGCATCCTCCAAAGGAATTCAAATGCCAGTGGTGGGGATGTCTGTTTCTTTGATAAGCCTGAATTCTTAATCATAGAAAAGCTTCTAAGACCAACTGCACCAAATTTTGATTCACTGTAGGAAATCAATGGCTGAATACCCATTTCAGTGCTGAGTTTGGTAGATGAAATAGCATCTCATTTCCACATAGGAGATGGGGAAATAAGAATTCAGGATGCCCATGTAGAAATGAAAAAGAACTAATTCATAATACACAGACACACAGGCCACCATGAAAAGAAGGTGTTTTCTTTAGGATGCTGTTAAGTTGTATGACTCTTAAATAATGTACATCTCTTTATTTTGAACTGACAGCCTTGAGAATTGTTTCTCTCTTCAATGATTTCTTTTAAGTCTGATAGTCAAACAGTTTTACCTGTTTACTGATCTTCAATTAGAAATTGAGACCCAAGGCTGTAAATAGTTCTTTATGACTCAGAAGTGAATCTAGGATTTAAACCCCTATTCATGAACTTGTCTTTTCTTGTTTTGTAACTGTGCCCTGACACTCAGGTTTGTGATTCTGAAAATCTGTTTAGGAAAGGCCTTGTCATCTTGGAATATGACCCAAAGGCCTAGTGACTTCCTCCATTAGAAGAATTTAAGTTCCTAGACATCTACCTCTTCCATCATCTTGGGAGTAAATTGAATTATTCTTCAATTTACTCTTTATTTATTCTTCACAAGCCTTCCAGATGTATTTAGCCCAAAATACCCACACTTATCTGCCAATATGGCCATGCCACTAAGAATTCTGGGAGCTTGAGTTCCAGAAAATCGGAAATGCATTCATTTGGGAAATGCTGGATTAGATGACACCTCAGTCTTTTCCAACCCTATTATTTGATGAAATAGTTCAGACATGGTTTCTGGCATCATTGATCCAGCTGTATACACTGGATAAGATGGAATGTCTTATATCAATGTTATGAATTGGGCCATGACTTTAAAAAGTGATCCTCCATAAATATGTTCCAGGTCAACTCCTATCCCCTTATTAAAGTCAATGCACCTAGATGTATGCCTGCAAATTTTTGGAAATTGCTTACCTTAGAGTTTTTGGTAGCTGAAAAAAACAATAAAATAGCATTAGGGCATTGCTGTAACATTGCAGCAGCTTTGAAAAAAAAAGTTAGTTGTATGGTTATCATTTCCTTCCTTTGCCCAAGTGATTTTTTATGATCTAACCAACTTTTTAAAATTAGGTTTTTCTCTTGGGAAATTACATTTTATCAAATTATGGAGTTAGGCAGCTGTTACTCAGATTCCTGGTTTTTCTGTAATTAGAAGCAGAGATCAGAAAAACAACTCCTTTATTCGTTCATTCAAATTCATACAGAGATGGGAAGGATTTTAAAGATAAATATTGTAAAGAAACCAGAGCTCCTTTATTGGGACTTATAGACAAGGAAAGGTTCATGGCAGATTGATTTTGTATACAGTAATGGCAGCAAGATTGTTGTATGCTCAGTGATGAAAGAACAGTGAAATTTCCCACAGTGGCGGAATAGATAGTGAAAATGTCAGAATTTGCTGAGATGGTAAAGCTGACCTATTTGGTCAGAGAAAACAAGAACAAAAACTTTTCTAAAAGTCTGGAAATCTTATATAGACTTTTTGCTGAAAACAAACAAAAATGATATGATAATTTATGGATTCAAAGATGTGGATTAAATGAGGGATTTGTCTAAGAAGAAGAGATGATAAGATTATAATTATCTGTTGAAGAGAAGATAATTATAGTCGTTATATTTAATAGCTTATGTATCTTTTCTTTCTTTTTTCTTGCACTTTTTTCTTTCTTTCCTTTCTTTTTTTAAAGATAAGTCTTTATGCAAAATTCTTAATAATGTAATTTTTTAAAAATATGTCTCCCTCCCCAGCCACCAAAAATGGTTCACTCCTGACTGTAGGAATGAACCAGTCAAAATTCAAATGTTTTGAGCAAGTGTCTCACCTTTTTTCTTATTTAGCTTCCACATCAACAGAGTAGTTCCACTTAAAATTAGCATCAGTACCCCAAGAACCACTGGTAGCAGGATCAGGAGATCAGGGTTGCTGGTGGGACAGATATCAAGAAATTTGTGAGATTGCCGGACTATATTCCCTTCGGATTGTTTGCCATATAGCTCTGGGCATTATTCAAGTGAATAAACTAGATTCATTCAAACTGGATGACTCTGGGAACTTCTACCTCTGAGTAATCCTCCATGGAAGGATTATACTGAGACTTTCTACAGACGAAGTCTCTTACTTCTAAAGAGAAATGTTCATTTTGTCCCTACTTCCGTTGTTATAGTAAAAGTTAATCTCTTGGTGCGAAAAATCCATATAGGCTTTATTTCTAATCCTTTTACAACCAGTTTTTCTTCCCCTGCAGATGTCCTCCATATAGAGGGCCAATCTAAAATAAGGGGGGGGGAATCTTATTCACCAATGTTGGAATAGTTTCATTATGAAAAAGTTTATATCTACTACTTGGTGCTACATCATCATTTTTTGCACAGGCTGGATCTAGTCACAGACCAGAAATCTTAAACATGTTGGAAACCACAAACAAAACTCATGCCTTATATGCTAGAACAGAACAGCAACCATTTTCTGAGGGCAGACATAAATATCTGCTTTTATTAACCCCCCCCACACACACACACACTGCAAAACTAAAGTCTGTTTTCTTGCCACAGTTTAAAAATACCCTGTTCCTCTTAACGCTGCTTTGAGTTCTTCATTTTGATTCCACTAACCCCGGAAACTCACAGGGGCAGAAATACTTGAGCAATAGCTTGATCTCTAAAAGCTTTTTCACCTTTGCTAAAATCATGCAGTAGCTAAAAGCTTTTTGCCTTAGTGTAAGAAGTTGCCAGTATGAAACCCCAGAGAATTTTTTTAATTACTATTTTTCCCCCTTTAATAGCTAGCTGCCTTTCTCTAGCTAACAGTGAAAGATTGCACCATTCCCTCAGTCTCCAGGAAAAAGAGAGACTGGTGCAACCTTTCACATCCTTTCTTTTTTTTAAAAAAAGCCCTCAGCTAGTTGTGAAAAACTAGCTAGGCAACTGAAGGAATGAAATTAGCGTGTGTATGTTTATATTATATGTTCTTGCTGGGTTTGAAATCACCAGCCTCTTACTAGCCCAAAACCTTAACCTCAGAGCTATTTTAGCAGTTTTGAAAAAAAGTAGACTTCTATAAATGCTTAGAGTGGAAATTTATTGGTTTATTATTTATATCCCAACTTTATTATTTTTATAAATCTCAAGGAGGTGAACATACCCAACACATTTTCTTCCTCCTATTTTCCCCACAACAACAAACCTGTGAGATGGATTGGTCTGAGAGAAAGAGTGACTGCCCCCAGTCACCCAGCTGGCTTTCATGACTAAGGCAGGATTTGAACTCATGGTCTCTTGCTTGCTTATTTGGTGCCTTAACCACTACCAAACTGACTCTAAAATGGCCAGCTAAGAATGCATCTTTAATTTTGAAGAGAGTTATTATACTTGCATTTGTGCGTATTAACTTTGTGTATATACTTTTGTGCATATAAATTAACATTGTGTATTTAATTGAACTGTACTTTGTTTAAATACATTTTTTTACAGATAGAGGTGACCACTTGTAGTTCAAGGTTGAAATGAAGTTTGGTTGTTTTCTTGCAGATGTTTCATTACCCAAACTTCATCAGTTTGGGTAATGAAACATCTGCAAGAAAACAACCAGCCTCAGAGACCACCAAGGATCCTACTTTTTCTACAGGTCTGTATGCTATATACATAGCAAAGTATACATGATCAGGATGATCTGCCCACCAGAAGCAAAATGATTGGCCGCTGCTTTCTTGGAACAGAAAGGTGGGGCGGGGTACAAGAGAAGGGGAATTATCCAATGGGAGATGAGAGCCACCTGCTGTCTGGGCTAAAAATTTTGCAAGCTGTTGGGAAAGTGTATCAGTCCACATGCATTTTTTAAAGCAAGCTTAAAGTTCATTTGCCATCTGCATAGGATTGCAGGGGTAGGCAACCTTGGCTCTTTTATGACTCGTGGACTTCAACTCCCAGAATTCCTGAGCCAGCATGGCTGGCTCAGGGATTCTGGGAGTTGAAGTCCACGAGTCATAAAAGAGCCAAGGTTGCCTACCCCTAGGATAGGGGCATCTGAAATGGTAAGTAAGTAAATATGCTCTTAGATTAGGCTTTCCCAATTTCCCTCCTGTTTTTGAGGAAATATAGACAGAGTCCAGGGAAAATGTAAAGTACCATTTAGTTGTACATTGTTGTAGTATATCCATCTTTCCCTTGGTTTTAATGTATGGTTTTCACCATTCATTTGTATTTATTTTGGTGTTTGGAGTTTTAGGGAAGGGGCATACTTTAAGATTACACTCTAAGGAGGTGTGATGATAAAAATTTTTAAGATCCCCTGCCTTTTATCCTTACGTTCTGACAACTCCTGTCACTTATTCTATGCAGATTTAAACTTACCTATTTGGACTTGTCCTTGTAGTTTCGATAGGGAAGGTTGAGATGGTAGAAAAATATCCAGTTGTGCTAATAGGTGGCAGTTCTAAAAAAGAAATTAAAATAAGTACAAACCCATAATTTTCTAACCTATACTTGCATGGTCTTAAAATTATACTAACAATGTATACAGACAATGACAGACCTGTCAGTGTTGGAAAATCTTCCAAGTTTCAGCAATAAAAAGTAACTTTTCCCTGGGAGGTTATTCCCCATTCAAATTGACTCCAAGTAT